ACTACGTACTACGTACGTACTACTAGTACGACGTAACGTAAGTATACTAGTAGAGTAGAGAGAGAGAGGAGAGGAGGAGGGAGGGAGGAGGAGGAGAGAGAGAGAGAGAGAGAGAGAGAGAGAGAAGCATTTGCACTCGCATTGGAACAAGCAAAATTCCTTGGCCATTAAAACATCAAATAAAAGTAAAGCAAATCAGTAAATATAAGAAAATCCATCCACCATATGTTTAGATATTATGTGCAGAAAAAATCCAGACATTAGGCACTATCATGAAACATCATGCAGCAAATTTAGTATGATGACATATAGATTGGCAAGATCATTTTTAAAAGGGACTAGTTTCTCACTTTATTTGGCTATTGAATCTTAAATGAAGATCACGTCAAATGACATCAGGAATGCAACTAAATGGACATCATGCATAGATGGAAGGCAACAAGTATTCGAGAATCCAGAAAAAGGAACTCCATCAAGATATGTGAAGTGTTATAGGAGCAGCACGATATATGAGAAGCATTACTGTACAAAAGAAAAGATAAACAACAGCCAGGATAGGATAAAATGTGCTCATCCTAAACAAAGTATGTGAAACCAGGAAACAGCGTGCAAAAGCATTTCAGAGCATACCTTTATACGCTCTTCTTCATTTGTGTCCATGATGTATGCCATGTACCTTAAAATGAAAGGAAAATTTGTTTCACAATCGTAGGAAATCAACCAAAAGAACAACTGATAAAGATAAACTTCTGCATCATATGTAGAAGGCAAATTTTCCCTTCTGCTATTTCTGAATATATTCATGCACATTACACAGCATACACAGGACCCAGCAGCCCATGCCAAAACCAGTAGATTTACTTCATAGACAACATAATATGTAGAAAGAGGCATTAAATTTTGGATCTTATAAAATGAAAGACACCAACGACAATAAGACTCATCACAAGCTTTGAAGGCAACAAATATTGTGCATATTGAAATTCAGGAGAGAAAAAAATACAGGAGAGAAAATACATGGTTGGAATGCAATGAGAATCTAAATCATGATTAGTGAAAGCTTGATCATTAAAGCAATGCAACTTAACTTATGGCAGGAGCCAAAATATATGGTAGGAATGCAATGAGAATCCTAATCATATTTAGTTGAAAGCTTCATCATGAAAGCAATGCAACTTACACAAGTAACATCATAACACAAAAACCGCATGAAAATCAATTGCCCCTCATAATGTAGAGAAAATTTAGCAGCACTTACCAACTTTCTCGACTCTTGTCTTTCGCCTCTTTCTCATATTTCTGGATTGTTCTATCATCAACCATGCCACTGAGGAAAAGTATTTGCCCTCCCGTTGTTGACTTACCAGCATCTGCACAGCATAAAGATGCACACTCAGGAAACCACAGGAGTGCTCATTGTTGGGTTTTTGTGGCCTTTAAAGGCCTAAAGAGCTTGTAAATATAATATTGTATAGTAGAATATGCACTTCAATGGGAGTATGTGTTGACTGACCAAGGGTTGGGCGGTTTATGACCCCAGTCATGTCCAAAACCCTTACCCCTGGGCATGTGGCACAACCGATAAAGATTTGCAGTCGGTCAGCCTTTGTTGAGGTCAGAGATATGCCCAGGGATAATGTTTGTAGGCCAAAAGAGCTATGTGATCTCCTGTATGCGGTTGCTGTCCTGTGAGAGCAAAAGCCAAAGCCTCAACAAACTTCCACACAACATGTACACATGACAGTTGTATTATTGGGAAGCAGCTCCATAGTTGGATGCGTGTACATGTGCATAGACAGAGCCCCTTTATTGCACTGTAGTGACAAGTGCAAAGGCCAAAGCCTCAACAAACTTCCACACAACATGTACACATGACAGTTGTATTACTGGGAAGCATCCCTATAACGAGATACATGTACATGTGCATAGACAGAGCCCCTTTATTGCACTGTGGTGACAAGTTCCAGACTTGCTCTTAAAAATGGGAACTGAAATCCACATTCCACGATCATGGTCCCACTGTTTATATTCCAACTTTGACAAACCAATCATGAGCCCTTGCTTTGAAACTGTGGGTCATGGGTCTTTGTTGGGTTGGATAAGAAAACAATACTGGATTATGGTTTCTAAGATTGTGGAGTGTCGATATTGTCGCTAATTTTGACCCATTGGTACCAATCCACTCATTTTATTTTCGTATTATAAATTTTTTTATAATTTTTAAATAGTTTTTCTATAATTTAAAGTATTTTTCTGTTGTAATTTTCATCAAAAGGGTATTTATGAAATTGTAAGAACTTAAAATAACACACGTGGGACCAAAGATCCAACCCCTCATATGTGTGTGTGCTTTTTAAAGTGGGACCACATGTCATCCATACGGGAACCACACCCTATTGTTTTAACAAAAAGTGGGCATGCCACTTTTTTGGGGAAAAAGGGGGCACAACCCACTTTCTTAAAATTAGTTCAAATTTTTTTAAGAATACGGCATGCCACCATTTTAAGAATAAGGGGCACGTCACTTGTTTAGGAATTGGGGGGCACGCCCCATTCTCTTGATATTGTTTAAAAATTAAACTAGCTAAAGATCAAATATGAAATCTCTTAATTTTAAATAAGATTTGGTTCCTATTCTAATGGGAGTTATTTAAAATTCAAAACTTCATTGATTATGGGAGATCTAGACAATGTTTAAAATTTAATTGTATTTCAAATTTAAATAGGAGTTGGGCTTCAGTCAAAATCTAAAAGGATAAGGTTCTTATTTTTCCACCCAAAATCATGATGGCTAATTTATGAGATGGATGGCTCTTATTAAATCTCTCTCACCCCACAGATTTCCTAATTATCCTAAAGGTCTAGCTGGAAATGGGATAAGACATGCTTAAAATAGAATCATATTCAAAATAAGAAATAGATTGTTTCTATTTAAACAAAATGTTAGCCCCTCTCTCACTACAAAAAAGATTTCTCTGATGCCCTAAGATCTCTCTCTCTCATGCCACCCTCTCTCCTATTTTTGTATCACGCCATCCTCTCTCTCCTACTCTTCACGCTACCCTCTCTCCTACTCTTCATGCTACCCTCTCTCCTCTTAGAGAGTGTCACGCTACTCTCTCTTTCTCTCTCCTTATTTGAGTAGCTGCTATTAAAAGAAAGAAAAGGAGGATCTTCAAAATCAAAAAGAAAGGCAAGTTGTATTTTGGAGAAAAGAAGGGAGACACCCAACCTAGAGAGAAATCAACTCATAAGTTCAACCCTATTTTATTCCATAGGGCTTCTATAAACCGTAGTTGTTTTTGAGCTCTCTAAAAAAAACCCAAAAAAAAAGAAGTACTGCCTACAAAACTTCCCTATCTCAAAATTTCCACAACACCTGAAGGAGTAAAAGTGCACCATCGGTTAGGGAATCAGGTGTGGGGTGTGCCAAGACCTGTGATGGTAACTCCATGCATGTTCTTGTAAAGTTTTAATTAATTTTCAGTATTACTTCTTATTTTTCTATAAATTTTCAGAAACTTATTTTCTACTAAAATTTACAGTAGAAGTTAGTTTAAAGCTCCTAGATAATTTGTATTTCTTTTGGCAGTAAAAATAAAGATCCTTGGTTGTATCTAGGGTATTATTTTAATTTACAGCAACATATATGGCCCATGTAAGTAGAATTCAGGTATTTCCAATAAAAGTAAAAGAAACGTTTTTGAATTTAACACCTTGAGTTCCACATAGCCACATCTTTCACTCATAATCGATGTCAAATGACATTTATAAATGATACATGATATAATTATATGCATATGTTCATTTAAATTCTAAATGTAATCCATCTTGTGAAAGAACATAAGATGATTGGAGTCATTAAATGCTACATAACAAATATATATCTCAAATGGCATGTACACTATGCCCTCACAAGAATGAAGCTTACGATTGCTCTGTTGGGCAAAAGACCAAGAGGATTCTCTTGATCTGAATTTTCAGATTCACCATACAATCACCATATCAGTATTTTCAACCGAAAGAAGAGAAGGATTTTGAGTTCCTAAACACCTAGACCTGACCATCCAAAAATTGGATTGTGTCCAATCCTAGGATGTGATGATTTCAGGCACTTTAAGAATGTGCATAGAATTTTAGTCAAGGACACCAGGTTGAGTAAGTTACACTTCCGGAATTGGGATCCAAAAAGTACTCCTTGCTAGGGGTTTTACTGGAGGGAGCAAAGGTACAATTTGCTCAAAAGGGAGCATATAATCCTATTCATATCTCAAAGAAGACACTCCCACAAAATTTCCCAAGCAAGTTCTAATTGAGTAAAATGATGACCTCACTAGAACTAGCCCAAACTTATAACTCATCATGAGATAAACTCAAACCTTCATTAGATTGATAAATAAATAAATTAAAGACCTATTCGACTATGAAGAAAAGAAACAGTTGGCAGAGCTCCTTCAGTAATTTACAGCCCAATAAGCCAGGGGAACAAGATCAGATATCACATCTGTGGATTTAAGAAAGGATATACTGACGGGATATAACTCTGTGATAATAATCTAGGGGATGAGTAGCCCAATAGTAAACTAGCCAGTGGCACAATTCGACCAAGCATGGTTTGGTAGCAACTTTCACGTGAACAAATGGCCTCCTCAAATACAAAGGGAACTACCAAGTGAACATTAAATATGAGTGTATCATAAGATGTTAATGAAGGGAAACTATAGTATGATCCACTTGACCATGAAATATATGAGGTTATAAGGGTCATAAATAGCCAATCAATGGATACGTCAGTGATGGAGAGAGACGTACATACAATTGAATTAATCTCATTTTGAGCATATCCCACTCTCCAATATTGGCCAGCCCATAAATTGGACAGTCGTGACCCTTATAAAGCTGTATAGTTGTGGTCATGTGAACATTGTATACTTTCTCATTCATAATGCTAAAATTACATATGTGGTCACAAGTAGTTATTACTTATTATAGATAGTGGTAGAGCTAAAAGTGCTTAAATGCACACATGAGATATTTGGATAAATGAGATTTCATTTTTTTTTCTGCTTGATAAAGGTTATATGTTGATAAATACTTCTTAAGCCCTTCAAAGTTTTCACATAAGTGTATGTAAGCATTGGTAAGTATAAGTCTGATATTTGTGTGCGCGCAACATGTGCATATATATGATGTGGCAAGCCACAATTTCAGAATTATTAGCATCTCACCAACATGGCCGATGAAAACAACATTCAGGTGTCGTTTCTTGGTCAGTTCTGGGTCCTGCATCACTTCCTGCCCTCCCGCAGCAGACATCTCCATATCTTGCACTGAAATTAAACAACAATATCAAAAAGAGAGTGCAAATGTGATTTGACTGTGAATGTCATGTTAAGAACAAAAAAAGCCATGATATATAAGGAAGACATTCTTTTTCACATGCCTTCCCTAATACAGATTAAAATATGTAACAAATGAAGGTTTTGAAACATCACAAAATACCTTTCGGTTCAGAATCCTGCAATGTTAATGTCTGTAAGCTTGACTGAATATCAACGTTGTTATCTGAAACCCAACATGAGAACCATATAGCAATATAAATCAGCCAAGAAAATGATATAATTTTATCATCATTCAAGCCAAAAAATTCCGAATAGTCATGACTAATATTAATTGTCATTTATTGGTTTAAATAAATATAGAATGATTTTAAATAAACACATAGCCCATAGTAAAGTGAGAAAACCAGTTTTCGATTAGATAAATCTTGTGTTGGAACCTTTATCTTGCAAACCAAGATGACCTACCCAAGAAAAAAGGAAAGGGATAGGATATAGCACCTAACAACAGTAAAAAACGGTTAGGATGCAAACACAAGGGTACATTAACCAACAAGAGGAGCATGAAAAGAAGCTTCCACTTAAGGGCACTACTTGTCCTTCATCGGTTCAGACAACAAATGAAAAGAGCAGCATTAGAGGTTTTTCTTCTTACTATAACAAAATTGAAGGTAAAAAAAGTTCTAAAATCAATCAATGTATTGCTGTTGTACCAGGCTTGCCAAAACCTCAATCCCAAACTGAGAGACAACCATCAACCACTAAAACCTTAATTAGCCAAAAACTCAATCCTCAAACTGAGAGCAGCACAACAGCGAAGAGATATCTTAGAATCACTGACATCAAACAAGGAGTTGGTCTCTCCTTTGTTAGACCCACATCCAGCTTCATTAGGAGGGAATTTTTCTCTAGCACTTCACAAGAAAAATTTTATAAGATGTCAAACATTGATTATGATCTGGGAGTACACTAATCATTGTACACCTGCCGATTCAGTTATAGTTTAATGTGAAGACTATGTAAGATTTTCTTAAAGTATATAACTATGGGGATATTGCCCCAAAAAAAAATGAAGTAGAAGAAGGATATTGCACCATGGGCAACTGTTGGATGACAAAAACTAGTTTCTAGGTATTTATGGATTGACATAAAATACTTCAACTGAAAGTAGCACACATGTTAGATAAAAACATCTTATTGAATATCTTAAGGAGTGTTATCCAAAATACCTCTTCGGTAGTGTTTCAGAAATGCATCAGTTGAGCAAACTGACCACTGAAGTACTATTTTATTACCTTTGCAAAAATGCCCTAAGAGCACACTTTCCATTCAGGTAAGCAATGGGAAAACCATCAAACTAAATACCAATTCAACCAAGCTAAAACACACAAGAACTAAGGGCCTAAGAAAATTAGACAATGCACACTAGGAATGACTACCCAACTATCAAATTAACACCACTTAGAATAATTGATAGTCCCAAAGGTAGCTGATCCTCTATCACAATGCAAATATAAGCCCAATCAATCTAATAAAAGGGCCCAAAGCTCAAGGAGAATAATTCAAGCACAAATATCTTCAAACCGGTTACCTTGAACAAATTGGAATTTTCATTAGGTGGACTTATGAAAGAGAGAAAAAAAATTACTAAAATACAAAAGGCAATAATCATTTGTTTCTAACAACCAAAGCACAGGGAAAAAAGAAAACCATCCTCTCATCAAAAAAATCCATGATTAAAAATGACGCTTAGCCACTCGCAGAAAAGCACGTCATAGAAAAACCTACCAGGAAATCACATGGTAAACTTGTAGATGATGAGAGAGAAAAACCCTAGATGATGGCATACAAAAAAAGACTAATCTCAATTTCAAAAGGGTGTACCTTGAGGAGGAGGTGGCGTATCCATGGATGGATCTGCAGAAGACGGTTGGTGGTCCTCTTCCAAGGCGTCTACTTCCTTACTCCAGTCATCAGGTTCGCCATCCACAAGGTTTCCTGGTCCAGAGTTGGGCTGCTCTCGGACCTCTTCCATGGCGGTGGATCTGTGCGCCCTTTAGAGAGAGAAAGGGCTGAGAAAGCAGGAGAGAGAAGCTTAGAGAGAGAAAGGGCTGAGAAAGCAGGAGAGAGAGAAGCTTAGACCGAGATAGGGCTGAGAAAGTAGGAGAGAGAGAGATCCCACGCTAAGCGCTAATCCCTATTCTTATACTGAGTAAAGAGAGGCGCACCAAAACACCATAGGAAAGGCTGGCCAGAATAGAGGCATTAACAAGTTAAACGGGTCGAAGTATGTCTTGGATCCCCACTCCCCAGAGGATTTCGCGGCAATTTCTTTTTAACCCATAATCACGTTTTGTGCAAGAAAAAAAAAAAAGGCCACAGAGATAATATAATATAAGTATGGGTGAGTTTTGTAGAAGGTTGCCCCCCTTATAACTACAGAAGTAAGGCATACCCATTTAGAGTGTGTGAAAACCTTATGAACGCTTCAAAACCTCTTTTTATCCTGTGGTTAAAAAATTTAATATCTTTTTATCCTATGGTTATAAAATTTAATATTTCAAAAATGGTAGACTAGATCAAGAAATACATAAATCTTGAAAATAGACGGTCTAGATAACTTGTTCTAATTTGCACTTTTTTTGGATTTGAAATTCTTTTTCTTTTTCATATCCATTCATCTCAAAGTTGAGATTATCAGTTCGGGGGTTCTCCTAAACCGGAACACTCCACCGTAGGATTTTTGAGGTGCACCTTACTTCAACAAGTTGCAACCTTATATAAAGATTTTTCGTATAAGTATTTAACTAGTAGCATGCACTTGCATGACAAGTGTATTAAACTGTTATGCATGTAATATTTTTTTTAATGCTATTTTATAAGTAAAATAAAGTTACAAAATCTAAAATAAAACAAAATTTAAAATAAATTCCACAATAAAATAAAAATAATAGTTTCTCACACATATATGGAGAAATCAAAAGATAAATTACTTTTTATAGAGAAAGAGAGATGAAATATTTTTCATGAATAAATAACAATGATTGAAATACAATTTAATTGAATCGACATAAATTTAGTAAATGAATAAATTATTTATGCGCTATGCTAAATAACACATAAAATTTAAATATATCAAATTAAGTAACATAAAAAATATATTATTATGATTATTAATTTAATTATAGTAATATTTATTACCTATAAAAATAAATTTATATTATAGAATTATTTATATGTTATAAAATAGATTGATATGAAAAACTTAGAACAATAGATTAATATTATTTAATTAAAATTGTAGTAGTATAGTATAATGTTTGTATCTATAACTAATCGAACTACATTTAATATCGTTATACCAAACGAATTATATTATTCATGTATATATACTAATGACATTTATAATGTTGACCAAAATCATCTCCGAAAATAAAAAAAATATTGTGGAATATAATAATATTCTTATTAATATATAGTTCCATTTATAATAATACAATCTATAACTGTAGTTATTTGTGTAATAAATATAATATTCAATAAATTATTACAATTACACTCTTGTTATTTTTAATAGTAGGGAGTGAGACACATGTCATTGAAATAGTGCATATATCCTTTTGCTTAATATAAAATATATAGTAGATAATAGAAAATTGTTTCATATGATGGGACTGCAATTCTACATTTGTGGTCCACGAGGTACAAAGCAACAATCTTAAAGATGAATGCAAACATGGGGTCCATCTAAAACTAATTCAAACTAATAGTCCAAATATTTTATTAATAGAATTATTATTTTTAATTTTCAAATTTTATTTAATTTTTTTCATATTATTGATCTCCATAATAAATATTACATATCTTCAAAAGTAAGGTTAAAAAATCCATCTCAAAATAGATTTTTAAGAGGTAAATCATTTCTATATGGACTCATAGAAACCGTGTTCTTAATAATAGGGAAATTATCATAAATATACCTTAATTTTTGCCTAATTGGAAAAAAAAAAAAAAAAACGTTAACTTTCATAAATCTCCTCCACAATATTTTTCTTCAATTTTGGTATTTTTTTACCAAAATAGCATTTACAGTAGTCGTATTACTGTAAAGCCCTAGCATTACGGTGCTTTAAGTACCGTAATTACTACGTATTTTAAAAACTGTAATAACGCAGAGCCTTATTATGATACTCGAAATACCGCGATACTATCTAACTTAAAAGTCTTGAGGCATCACGATACTTTAAGTGCAGTAATGAACATAAAATGTATTATGGTACTTAAAGTACCTTAATACTGTGGAATGATTTCTACGGTACAAAACGAACTGTGATTAAACTCTTGCATTTTTCTCTTTCATTTCTATGATTTTCTTCCATAAGACCCTATCTTCCCATCCCACTCTCTCTAACCCCGCATCTCTCTTCCTTAGCCTCATCTCCTCTCTCTCTCTCTTCTTTAGCATCCTCTCTCTCTCTTCCTTATCCTCCTCTCTCTCTCTAAATCTCTCATCCATTTTCTATCATCTCCTTCTATTTGTCAATCTCTGAACGAGGTTTCTGAGAACTATTTCTCAATCCGTTAGTATGAACTATACACACCAACACCATTTTATACGTATGTCATCAAAATCATCAAGCGTTTAATTATATTTCCTTGGATGTGTGATGGCAACATTTCAATATTACATTGTTTTTTCTATAGTAATTGATGTAATTGGGTTGGCCATTGTAATTTTTTTGTTTAAAATATTGCATAAATAAGTTTTAGATCTATATTTATATTACGGCATCTGTATTGCAATCTAATGTCCCTATGTAATGCAACCTCTTCTTTATATATAAATATTTTGAAACATTTATACATGCATTTCTATCTTCTAATGTGTTATTGATTCAAATAATGTTCATTTCATATTTGTTTCCATCTGAAATTGAAAATCGCTTAGCACTGTTTGGGCTTGCACGCACCAATAATGGGTGACAACAAAGTGAAAATCACTTTACAATTTGGTGGTTCTTTCAAGAGACTTCTAATGATAGACATATTTTCTATTGGTGGTGACCTAAAGTTTATATTTTTTTTGGTGAATCCCATCCTTCAACGAAGTAAATGCTCACTTGTAAAAAATAACAAATTATGCCTCAAGTACCATGATTATTAGGGACATTAACCCACGGTTACGAAGTAACAATAATATAATATATATTGACAATGATGACGACATTGTAAATATGGTGAAAGGGTCTTCTCCCATTGCTATTTACGTATTAAACATACCTATTTAGTTAGACTCCACTAAATATCGACCACCAACAGTGCCTGATAATGGTCCATTAAGATTGGCCATGTAAGAAGTTTGCAATGAAATTCATTATTTTTTATTTGACAATATGTTTTGTGCAGATGTTCTGGGTCAAGATAATTCTCACTTGTTCTTCTAATATTTTTTCGATAGCGGTACCTGACCAGAGAAAGTAGTTCAGAGTAAATCTACTACTGGCATAGGCAGCATGATTCAGAAATCAAGCATCATATTGGCGACATCGACTGATAGAAACCCTCATCAGGATTGACCGTTACGAAGTTGTACTTCAACAGGGTTAGGATTTTGATGATGTACATACATAACGTAATCACCTTATTGAATATGCAATATCACAAAATTTCACTATGAAGTTTGTAAAAAGCAATGAGAGACGTGTATAGGCGAGGTGTGCTACAGATGGGTATCCATAGCGAGTACATTGCTGGAGGGTTAATACAACAAGCTTCTTCAGGGTAAAGAACTTTGTAAACATACACTCTTGTGTCGACGCAATAGCCGTGGTTCATCAGCCGCTTGCTCAAAGCCACTGACTGACGAGAAAGATAAAATGCCGTTTAAATGATATATCCAATCTGACACCTGGAGATGTTATTAATGATGTTAAACATGATCACGGAGTCACGCTATCTTACGAACAAGAATGATGGGCAAAGAAGTAACACAAGAGATAAATAACAGTTCTCATATGAAGATATACGAGGATCTCGACAAGTACCTGCATAAAATCTGAATCACTAACCCTAGAACCGTAACAATTGTTCAAACATAAGATCATGATATGTTTGATCATATGTTTATAGCCAATCGTTCATGTTTGTATGGTTTTACGTATGGTTGCAGGCCACTAATGGGACTTTTTTGAAGAGAAGATATAGATGGATACTATTGGCTGCAGTTGGGGTAGATGTGAATGAAAATATATTTCTCATAGCATATGCAGTAGTTGAAAGTAAAAATACAACAAGTTGGACTTGGTTTCTAGAGCTTCTCAATGAGCAGTTTGAGGAGAGGCCTAGTTTTCCAGTTTTCTCTATTATCTCAGATCGTCATAAAGGGTTGCAAACCGCAATGAAGAAGTTGTAACAATCCTAAAATTTCAAAAAAAAAAAAAAAAAAAAAAAGAAAGAAAAAATATGCTTTTAAATAGGTGATGTTCTGTTTGAATATGATGGTCCTTGAGGACCATCACTATTTTCAAAAGATTTGCCTTGGCCTTTACTTTTTTTTTCTTTAGCCTGCTTTTGCCTCTTGCTGCTTGCAGCTGGCAACGTCTTTTAGCGGACGTGGTTTTCGTACGATAAAAGTCTG